GTTAGAACCACCACAAGGTAATTTTATGTAGTCCTGTGAAGTTTTGTTGAAATCGGCTAAAAATGTAGGGAATCCGATCCAACATATAAACGTTACACACACACACACACACACACACACACACACACATACACACACACACACACACACACACACACAATCTGCGTTTTATAATAAGTAAGATATACGGACACGACAGTGATGATTGTCTGTCATTGTTTACATAGATGATTTCTAAGCAACGATAAACACGTGCATATAAGACGCTAGAAGCGAGAATCGCACCCCATCTCATGACGTCACATATGACCACACAAGAGTGAATTGTAGAAGTATGGCAAGCCGTTGGTATAAACCAATGGCTTCTGTTACCAATTATAGACCTTTAAGAATATTTGTAGAGATGCCATAATTGATTTTGTTTAGGTTGGGTTTCAACTGTTTGATGTATAATACTTCAAAGATTTTTAGTTTTTGTCTATTGTTTTCATGTCGAAGTATAATTGTGTTTTCGACAAGTATTTTACGGAATTGTGAGTGAGGGCAGGCATGTTGTTTTAAATGCCTAAAAATGTTAAAGTTTTCATTAAAATGTAGTGTCAAGCGTCGTGAAAGCGAGTTTGTGGTGTGACCAACATAAATATTATTTAATTCGTTGGAGATACACTCTCCCAAAGGGCACTTGAATTTATAAACTATGTTGGTTTTTTGTAAATGGCTAACCGGGGGAGAAGAATCATTGCGAAGTATTAAGTTGGATATACTAGATTTAGTGTAATATATGATTAATTTAATTTTTTTACTAGGATCTGTAGTTGATATATTAGAATTTACTAATTTTTTAGTATATTTTCATATTGTTTATAATTAGTATGCATTTGATTAAGATATAGGAGATTAATATGTTTAAGATCAGTAGAAGCAGTATTATGTACAGTTTGCTTACTATTGAGATTTCTTAGAAAGCATCTTATTTGTTCATCAACTATATAATTTGGAAAGCTATTATTAATAAGTGTCTGTTTTATATTCTTTAGTTCACTGTAAAAAATCTGTTTTGTGGAGGAACTAAAGAATAGCTTGTTTGGTACGTGCAGAGTATTGGCCATGAAGCGATTTATCTTGCCATCGCTTCTGTATCTGGTCGGTTGCATTCGTCTTTGCTGTCTTTTTTAAGTATTTTGCAGTTTCAACCGGTGTATTGTGCTGTAGTTGCATCTCTACGCCCATTTGAAACTCCATTTTGAATTTGTTGGCTTCTTTCATTACGCAGTGAAGACGCTTACTACTTTCATGTTCCTTGACGCATACCATCATCCAGTCTTCTGTAGTTTCCAAGGATATTTGGAGGCCAATTGTTGTAGTTTTGTAGGACAGTTCTAGTTGAACTAATCCTCTGCCTCCTTTGGATCTGGGCACATACAGGCGATCAACATCAGCTTTGGGATGATGCATGCGATAGCAAGTGAAAAGCTTTCTCGTTTTGGCGTCCATTCGCTTAATTTCAGCTTTGGTCCAGTTAAGGACATTAAAGCTGTATTGCACCACAGATTATTATTATAATTATTGTTATTATTATAATTATTATTATTATAATTATTATCATTTTCTTTGATTTCTGGCGTTTACACATTTCTTTCCGGGTCCCGCCCAGGGACCTAAGGTTAGAAATGGCGTCATGACACTTTCCACTGACAAAAAAAAAAAAAAAATTAAATTACATAGATAAACCCCTTCGTAACGTGTGGGCTGTACTTGTCAGAACAATTTTTTGTATCTCCTTGAGGCATGGACTTCCAGGAATCCCTTCAATTAGTCTACTGCAATCTTTTCCAACCAGTCCTAGGGCTCCAACTACAAAAGAGATTGTTGATGTTCCCATATGCCACATTTTCGAGATTTCTATTTCAAGGTCCTTGTACTTTGACAACTTTTTGAATATCTTCAAAGATACATTGCAGTCAGCAGGGACTGCCATATCAATAAGGAGGCACCGTTTTTGTTTGTGGTCTTTAATAACAATATCTGGCCGGTTGGCCTTGATTGTTCTGTCAGTGTGTATTGTGTAATCCCATAGAATTGTAACAGGTCCTATCTCCGTAACCGGGTCTGGGTGGTGTTCATACCAGTTTCTTTCAGTTTTCTTCCTCTAGAAGTTGCAGATTTTCCAGTGCAGATATTGGCCCACTCTGTCATGTCGGGTTTTATATTCAGTGGGTGCCAACACCGTACAACCTGATACAAGATGATCAATCGTTTCTGGATATTTATCACAGAATCTGCATTTTGGGCTGACACAATATTTTAGTATATGTGCTTGATAATTCCTAGTTAGCAAGCATTGGTCCTGTGCAGCAAGGATAAAACCTTCAGTTTCCGCTTTCAACCCTGCACTACGTAGCCACTGATGGGTACGGGTTTTGTCTACGTCAGCTTGTTTGGTACGGGCAGAGGTATTGGCCATGAAGCGGTTTATCTTGCCATCGCTTCTGTAACTGGTCGGTTGCATTCGTCTTAGCTATCTTTTTTAGGTATTTTGCAGTTTCAGCCGGTGTATTGTGCTGTAGTTGCATCTCTACGCCCATTTGGAACTCCATTTTGAATTTGTTGGCTTCCTTCATTACGGAGTAGAGACGCTTACTACTTTCATGTTCCTTGACGCATACCATCATCCAGTCTTCTGTAGTTTCCAAATATCTTTGGAGGCCAATTGTTGTTGTTTTGTAGGACAGTTCTAGTTGAACTAATCTTCTGCCTCCTTCGGATCTGGGCACATACAGACGATCAACATCAGCTTTGGGATGATGCATGCGATAGCAAGTGAGTAGCTTTCTCGTTTTGGCATCCATTCGCTTAATTTCAGCTATGGTCCAGTTAAGGACATTAAAGCTGTATTGCACCACAGGGACAGCCAATGTGTTTATGGCTGATATCCTGTTTTTGAGTTCAGCTCAGTATTTAGTACCAGACGTACACGCCTGTAGTATTCTTTTCTTTATTTTTTCCTTCATTTGGGGGTGTTGTATGCCATCTCCTTCGCTAATTCCTAGGTACTTATAAGCTTCACCATGCTCCAGTTCCCTAATCTTTGTGACAAAATCTAAATCTATTAAGGGTGTTTCTGTAATTCTACCTTTCTTGAAAGTTACTTTTGCACATTTATCTAATCCGAAGTCCATACCTATGTCGTCACTGAAGTATTTTACAATATTGAGGAGGCCTTTCAACTCATTGTCGTCTTTGGCAAAGAGTTTGAGATCATCCATGTAGAGTAGGTGATTGAATATTTTTCTTATTTATTTTGTAACCATAGCTACTGTTGTTCAGTTCATGTGTAAGAGGATTAAGGATAAACAAAACAGAAGGGGTGACAGAGAATCTCCTTGAAAGATTCCACGTCGGATACTCAGACAGTTGGATATGGCAGTGCCCCGGTGTGACTAAGGTATAGTTTGGTGTTCCACATTCCCATGCTGTGCTTAAGAAATTTAATACCACAGGGGAGACTTTGTACATTTCCAAAGTCTTAAGGATCCAAGAATGTGGAACACTATCAAAGGCTTTACGATAATCAATCCACGCTGCACTTAGGTTCCTGCGTCGTCTCCTGCAATTTTCCAAGATCATTTTATTTATCAGAAGTTGATCCTTGCAGCCATATGAACCTCTTCTGCATCCCTTCTGTTCCAGCGGGAGAGTGCTGTTTGTTTCGAGAAAGGAATAAGTACGGTTCGTCAATACAGACGTGATCAACTTATACGTTGTGGAGAGACATGTTATCGGTCTATAATTTTTCGGGTGGTCTGTTTCAGTTGTTTTTGGTATGAGGTATGTCATACCTTCAGTAATCCATTCCGGGGTTTTATAGGGATTATTTACAAGCGTTGATAATGATAGAATTTCATGGGTAGATGTGAGATGATACAGACAGAAATTGGGCAACTTGTCACTTCCTGGGGATTTCCACTTTTGGGATTTCGTTAGAGCTTGCCTAACATCATCTGTGGATATATTTTTCCATTCTTGCAGAGGCGTATCCAGCATTCGTTCTTCTTTACGCCGTATCTACTCTTTTATTTTCTTTGATTTCTGGCGTTTACACATTTCATTCCGGGTCCCGCCCAGGGACCTAAGGTTAGAAATGGCATCATGACACTTTTCCACTAAAAAAATTAAAAAAAAATTACATAGATAAAGCCCTTCGTAACGTGTGGGCTGTACTTGTCAGAACAATTTTTTGTATCTCCTCGAGGCATGGACTTCCAGGAATCCCTTCAATTAGTCTACTGCAATCTTTTCCAACCAGTCCTAGGGCTCCAACTACAACAGGGATTGTTGATGTTCCCATATGCCACATTTTCGATATTTCTATTTCAAGGTCCTTGTATTTTGACTGCTTTTTGAAGATCTTCAACGATACATTGCAGTCAGCAGGGACTGCCATTGTTATTGTTATTATTATTGTTATTGTTATTATTATTAATATTATTATTATACTAATTATTATTATTATTATTGTTATAATTATTATTGTTATAATTATTATCTATTGATTACAATTTGCAATTAATTAAAAATCATTAAAATCTCGCCGAGTACGAAATACAAAATAAAATAAAGCAAAATTGGTAATTTATTTTTAAAAATTTTGCTTGGTTTCAGTTTTAAGTTCTTTCATATTTTTCTAGTTTCGTTTCTTTCAGTCAAAGTTATTTCTTTCTTTGCTTTCGTTTTTTTTTTTTTTTTTTTTTTTGGTGATTATTTCCTTTTTCTTCATTTGTACGTCATTCCTTTTCAGACAAATTCTTTCTGCTTTTCTTTCTTTTTTTTAATTTTGTCACGCATTTATTCTTTCTTCTTTCATTTATTTTTTTTGTCATGTTTGATTTCTTTCTTTTTTTCTTTCTTTCTTTCTGTCTTTGCTTCTATTGTTTGTTTGTTTGTCTCTTTCTTTCTTTTCATTTATTCTTTCTTTCTTTCTTCCTTTTTGACATTTACCCATGTATTGTTCTCTTTCTTTCTTTCTTTCTTTCTTTCTTTCTTTCTATTCATTCTTTCTTTTCATCTATTCTTTGTTTTCTTCATATTTATTTACTGATTTTTATTTCTTTCTTTCGTTATTTATGTAATGATTTTTCTATTTCTTTACTGATTTTCCTTTCTTTCTCTTTTTAATTATTTTTTTTTATAAGTTTTTCTTTCTTTCTTTACTGCGTTTTCTTTCTTTCGTTATTTGTTTAATTAGTTTTGTACCTCTTTATTTATTTGCTGAATTTTTTTCTTTTTTTTTTTTCTATATTTACTGACTTTTTTCTTTCTTTCCTTATTTATTTAGCGAGTTTTCTATTTCTTTACTGAATTTCCTTCTTTCTTTCATTCATTCTTTATTTTTTGTTTGTTTGTTTCTTTCTATCTTTCTATCTTTCTTTCTTTCTCTTTCTTTTTCTTCCCTTCATTCCTTTAGTACAGCTCTATCCATCATTACATTTCTTCCTTTTTTCTTTCTTTCTTCCTTTATTTTATTTCATTCTCTCCGTTGTTCTTTTTTCACTCTTTCTTTACTAAATTGCCTTTATTTTCTTTCTTTCTTTCTTTCTTTCTTTCTTTCTTTCTTTCTTTCCGTTGTTCTTTTTCTTTCTTTTTTACTGAATTTTCTTTTCTTTTCTTTCTTTCTTTCTTTCTTTCTTTCTTTCTTTCCGTTGTTCTTTTTCTTTCTTTTTTCTTTTCTTTTCTTTTTTTGAATTTTCTTTCTTTCTTTCTTTCTTTCTTTCTTTCTTTCTTTCTTTCCGTTGTTCTTTTTCTTTCTTTTTTACTGAATTTTCTTTTCTTTTCTTTCTTTCTTTCTTTCTTTCTTTCTTTCTTTCCGTTGTTCTTTTTCTTTCTTTTTTACTGAATTTTCTTTTCTTTCTTTCTTTCTTTCTTTCTTTCTTTCTTTCTTTTCTTCAATTTTTTTCTTTCCTTTGTTTTTTCTTCTTCATTTTGTTCATTCTTTCTCATTCTTTTCCGGTATATTCTTTCTTTCTTTCTTTCTTTCTTTCTTTCTTTCTTTCTTTCTTTCTTTCTTTCCGTTGTTCTTTTTCTTTCTTTTTTACTGAATTTTCTTTTCTTTCTTTCTTTCTTTCTTTTTTTCTTTCTTTTCTTTGTTTTTTCTTCTTCATTTTGTTCATTCTTTCTCATTCCTGCCCAGTATATTCTTTCTTTCTTTCTTTCTTTCTTTCTTTCTTTCTTTTCTCATTTTTCTCTTTTCTTTTACAACACGTCATTACACATTTTCTACATTTTTTGTTCTTTTTCCTTATTTTGTTTGTTCCAATTCACATTATTTTGTTATTTTCTTCTTTCTCCATTTTCTCATTCCCATCAATCATATGACCAAACTTTCTTCCATTGTTCTTCCTAAACGTATTTCAAATTTTCCTTCTCCTTTTTCCTTTTAAATCCTCCATGATTCTCACACCCATTTTTATCTATTTCGTCCCAGCATTTTCTGTTTTCATTAGGACGTCCGGCAAAAGAATTACATAAAAGAGAAGAACAGTTCTTTGAAACCAATTCCATCTACAATTTCGCCATATGTCAAGAACATGCCGAGAAAGTAAGCAAAGAATTTCAGCAAAAAAAAGCCTTTTCTTTTGATCTGCTAAGGAATGCAACGAAGCAAAGTATTAAGTCGTCGGCGCTCTTGGAGACAGTGCGCCAAAAAAAAGAGAGATGGATAACGAAATCTATTGGAGAAAACTTGTCTTTCTCGTAATTCATCAATCATTATCTCCAATACGTCAGATAGAATTATAATAGATTTTCGTTATATCTACATTTACAACTGGCGTCCGGGTTTCGAAACCAGTAATCGATAGCGTGAGCTATTTAACTCTCTCTCTATCTGCCCTGGTTTGTTCGCAAAAGAAACAGACCAACATGCAAATTACAAATTGGGGATACGGAAATCAAGTGCTTTAACAGACAGAAAGTACGACACTGAAATCTGAAGATGCGTTGGGATAGGGAAATATGCCTTCCAAAAGCTAAGCAAATTATTGAATTCTTAGAAAATATGAATCTTTGTATATAGCAGTGAATGCTTTGACCTAGAGCAATCGTTAACAAGCTTGTTTCGCTAGATCAATTACGACAGAAGTGAATTCGATCCTCACTGTGTTCTCTGTGCTTTAGGCCTTGTGACACATCTAAATTACGCTTACTAAATCGCTACTAGGCACTTCGACGCAGGGTAACAAGCTTGTCTCGCTAGATCAATTACGACTTGTTAGAAACAAACAAAAGAGTACTGATCTCTTGTGTAATATCAGTTCTCTTATATGGCAGAGAGTACTGGACAATCTTCTCAGAAATGAAGAAGAGACTTGAAGCAACAGAAGGATGCTGAGAATAACATGGATGGTAAATTTTAGAGACAATGGAAACAAAAAGAAAACTTAAGCTTAACATCAGGAAGAGACAGTTGAAAGTCATGGAGCATATAATGAGGAAAGAAGGTTTGGCGAATTTGATACTACAATGAATGTCGAACTTAATAAAAGGGATCATCGAGTCAATGTGAACGACCCTTTCCTTAGATGCATTGTATGTCCTTCCCCAGGGGTATATACAATTCGGAGTACCCTTCTTCTAGACCGGTTGCCACCCATGGTTATAGAACCCAGTCTGTCTTGCGAATTCATACATTTCCCAAGGGTATTAGTACGTAAGTGAATGCAAAGAACTAAACCAGAATTCGAACACTTTCCTCAATCCAACCTCAAACCATTACATAACCGTACCTCGTACTTAATAATTTGTAGTAATGTCAGCCTTTTTTTTTTATTTAATGTCGATTTTTATGAGGTACCCAATGAGGATACAAATCATCACTAGTCTCGATAACTATTAACCCACGCCGAAAATCCATGGATAGTTAAATTTGGTCAAATTGGTTGATTGCTTTACACTATTTACATAGTTCGGACTGTTGTCCTTATCTTTATTGTTATATTCAGGGTTCAGTGACGTCCATTTTGGAAACCCGATTCTCGGCGAAAGGAAACAAAGAAAAAGAGGGTTTTTTTCAACTTTACGGTTATCGGCATCGAAGTGTTAATCGGCGTGCCGGGTTCAAATTCTGACGGAGTCAGCTTTGTTCTGATTAATACCTTTCATAAAGGCATGAACCATCTGGTTCCCTACATGGTTTGAATAGCAGAGCAGTCTTGTCTCTCTTGTCTTATAAAAAAAAATAAAGCTCTTATTTCCCACTGCCTCGTGGGTAAGAGAAAGAAAAGGAGGATACCCTATAAAAATCTATAAAAAATTCTCCGGTGAGAAAGCTTCCCACATAACGATAA